CATTCAAAGATACGCAGTTTACCTTTTCATTTTGGTTTTAAGTAAGGGCACTGAGGCTTAAAATGTTCATATGACCCACACTCGAAACACGTGGTTGATATCTTTTGTCATATAAATTTTCTTGGTTTTTTTTTTTTTTTTTTTTTTGTTTTTGAAATTGGATTCCTTTGCTGATGATCTTTCTTGTATTTGAATCATCCCATCTATCAGAATGCTTAAAATGAGGGATGCTCTAATTTTTTTCACAAAATTATCATAACGCGTTTAAATGATCCTTTGTTAATTTCTCAGTCTGATTGGCAGAAATTCGGTTTTATTGTTTTCTCACATCTTCAAAATCTTCAATCTTAACATTTCAGTAGGTGAAATGATGGTTGTCCATTGATCCATAAAATGTTCTTTGAAATCAGGAGAAGTACGCTTTTTTATTTGATCAACCAGCAATGAGATCTTTTAGCTGTTCAAAGTTTTAATGTTTAATCCGTTAAGCCATCCTTCTAATAATTCTTTAATTCATAGTAGAAATCATACCAAGTACTTTCAGTAGATTTTTAGGTGTTTATTAAATAGTTGTCTAAATTTTTCCACACTCAATTTAAATCTCTGTAACAGTAGAGCTTTTACATATTCATACTTTTTCGCATCCTCTTCTGGTTCTTTGCAATAAGCTGAACAGTATCAGGAGGCAGCAGTGACATAAGTTGAGTCGCTTGATTTTCAGCAGGTATATTCATAATTTTAGCTTGACGCTCAAATAACGCCGGAAATAAACTTATTTCAACTTCTTTAGAGTTGAAACATGGCATAACCTCATGAATTCTGATTTTTAAAGGCTGCTCAGGTAACTGCGTTGTTTCTGCCAGCTGTGCTCTTGCAGCCATTTCTTTCAATTGAAATTTCTGTAGCTCAAAAGCTCTAATATGCTCTTCTCTTTCACATTCTTTTCCCCTTTCTTCTCTTTCGTGTTCTTTTTTTACTTTCTTTTTCTCTTTCTTTTCCCCTTCTCTTTCGTGTTCTTTCTCCCTTTCTTCTCCTTTGTGTTCCTTTCCTCTTTCTTCTCTTTCACATTTTTCCTTTCTTTCTCTTTCTTCTCTAATTGCAGCCAGTAGTTCTCGAGTAAATTTTCATCATAACCGGGACTTTCAGTAATTAATTTTTGCAATTGAGCAATCTTAAATTCAGTTCTCAAGGTTAAACCTAACTCTTCTGCCAGTACCTTTAAATCCCTTTTTCTACTCCTAGCTAAGAATGACATGTTGATCAAGTTACCTTTTAATAAGCTTTCCTTCAATTTGAATCTTACAAATTGTACCCGTATTAAAAATATATAATTTTTGGCAAGATTTAATTTGTCAAATAAATTCACACTAACCAATTGGAGATAATTACTTAAACAACTTTGCCAGTTTGGCACAGAATAAAATATTATGCCGGGTTGAGGTTTTAATTCACTACTCACAAGCCTCGTTGCCGATAATTATATAAACACCTTTGCCAGTTAGGCAATGCAATGGAATTTTACTCACGTTAGTTTAAGAGTTTACTATCCATCTCCACACCTGGTTGGCGATACAAAAACAATTTTTGCCAGTTTGGCAATACAATTTAGCTGTAATATTTCAGGATGATGTTACTATCTACCACGTCTGGATGGCAAGAACTAAGAAAAGACTTTTACCAATTTGGGCAGTACAATCAAATCACACTATGTCAATTTGACGTTACTACTTATTTTCCATGCCCCTGCTTGACAACAAATTCAAAACCACAGTTAGCACTTCCCCCCCCCTTTTTTTTTTTTTTAAATGCTGGGATGGCTTACACATCAATTAGCAACATAAAAATTCAATACAAATAATGGTAAAGCCTAAATAATAATTTGAAAATAATTTTTTTTTTACCACAAATATCAATTATAATTTACACCTAAAATTTTTAGTATCCGTTATTTTACATAAAAACTATTTAACTATAATTCTGAAATGAAATAATTAAATTCAATAAACACTTTTTTATGAAACCAAAAGTTAATCTTTCCTTCGGAAATCAGCAATATCCTGTTCCGACTATTCTTTTCTCGAACGCAAGTTATAGAAACACAGAAGATAACTTTTCTCCTTGAAATAACAAACTTGTTCACAAAATTTCAGCATTTTTCTGGGTTTACGAGACCAGCACCATCAAAATTGGTAATTGTACTCCTAATTTCCAGTATCTTGGTGGAACCTCCAATTTTATAAGACTGTAACGTTTTTTGCAGTTCTTATCAAAATAACTGATGAACTTTTTTGTAAAACATAAAATTTTATTCTCAATTCACAAATGTAGATGCTTTAAATTCAGTTCTATCTGTTACAGCTTCACACTCCAGCTTACTATTACTGTTTCTTACTCTATAAAATTTTCATACAACTTCTAGCTGGTAAAACTTTCAAATAACAATTTTAAACAATTTCTAACATTGCTGAGCAATGGTTACATGATACAAATATGCCATTGCCACTCCAATATCAAATAATAAATAGAATTATTTATTAAATAATAAAATATTACAATATATATATATACACATAAATTATTTAAATATTTGCATTATTAGAAAACAAATATATATGATTAAAATTAATTTGAGATATGCAACCTTCAGAAAATCACCTTGGAGCTGAATGAAACTACAGTTTTAAATCGCGAAATCAGAGCAGGTGCAACACATTTACGTTGGAATATTTCCAGTTAACTCCTTCCACAAGGCTGGCATTGGCGAGGAGTCGAAAAAAGGTATGAACTAGCCCTTTCTATTTATCCCTGGGTCGGATCATTGTTTTATAAATATGCAGTTTTTTCCCTTTAATGGGAACTTGAAATTTTTACCACTATGTAATTTCAGAAAACTGGGGATGCCATAAACAATGCTGATGATTTTAATCTTTTTAAACAAAAACTCTTCTATGATCTTTTTAAACAAAAACTCTTCTCTATGTGTTTCTGACACCATATTGAAAAGCCTAAACAGAAAGTTTTTTCCGATTATGACGTGATAAGAAATCAGTCAGCTATTGGCTGTTTGTTCACATCGTGAATAGCAAATCTAAATAGAAGCGAACTCGGTTGACGTCCTCTGTATTGTGCAAATTTATGCAGGTGGGAAAAGTAGCAGCAATTACGTCGCGAGCATACTCGTGTGGATGGGTTCTCGTCGTATTGTGTTCCATCTGTTATTTTTAATGTTATCAAATTACAGTTTTAGTAAATGATAAAATCTCTGTTTTACTCTTTCTCTGAAACTATACATTGGATATTGGAATTTTGCATTCTGGGAAATAGAGATAGAGATGTATAAAATAGCTTTTTAAAAACAGATGCAGCAACCAATAATTCTTGGAATATTTTAATGTAAAATTTGATGTGTGATTTGCATGATCATGAGAAGTCACATGTGCAGGTATTTTTAAATATGATTAGCATAATTTTTAATGAGCTATGAGATTTTATGATAATGATGAAAGCAGTGTATATTAGATCTGTAGTATAGAGTACTACTGTAGAACTATAGAATCTATAGTATGGTTTCAAATCCAGAAAATATTGCAATTTTCATCTGCAAAATACCACTTTCTTAAAGAAATAATAATAATTAATATTTTTATTTTTTAAATTTCCACATGTCCTCTTACTGGATTTAAAGCAACAATCTAAAATCCGAAAATTTCCAATATCTGGAATTGCCAAAGTTTCTAATATTCTGAATCTTGGACTTTGTACTTAAGAAAGTAGTGCAGTTGGATTTAAGACACTTGCAGCAATGCCTATGTTGCTCACTATGAATAAAATACCTAGGCATTTTATAGATAGCTGAAAACTGGCCGATAATGTATGAAACGATTAATATTTCGTACATTTCCCAAGCATTCTTTAAAATTCTTTATACTACAGATTCAGTGTTTTGAATAAACATTTTTTAATAGCACTCTTTCATTATTTTTTCAAAATGACATTTGTATGTTTGAGGATAATAGCCTTTTGTGACCTTTTGTTAATTTTTCACCTAGATAACATTCTATAGAATGCTTAGATGTTATATACAGGGCTTAGGGAAAATGTATAATTCTTCTCATATTCCATGCTGTACCCAAAAAGGCCAGGCATTCTATAAAATGCTTAGGTATTCTATACCAGTGTTTCTAAACTGGATTTACTCCAAGGAACGGTAAAATATTTCGGTATGTTCTTGCAGACCGGTAAGATTAATAATTCGACCCATTGGCACAACTTTTTTACATAAATAAATCATGAATACAAAAATAATATTTAAAGCATTTTATTTGTTATAATTTACATATGTACATTCAACTTACTTAAAATATTGCATCGAGAATAAAACTACCAAAACTTAACTAAAACTCCCAAGAAAATTCCAATATGAATGATATATTTATATTTTAATTAATGTGTTAGCAAAAACAACAATGAATCAAAATGTAAACAGCGTAGGTAGATACAAAACAAGCAAAAAATAATTTATAAAATTAAAGGAAATAAAAACTAAAATCAATTAGATTGCTGCTAGTCTCTGTTGTTGACTAAAGTGTCAATCCTTGGCGTAAACCCAGTTACAGCAGTATGTAGAGCAGGCACAAGAGCAAGTCGATTTCGATGTTTCATCTTAATAACAGTCATAGCCGAAAATGTAGTTTCACACAAATAAGTTGAGGAAAAAGGCAATAAAATCTTCAATGCCTTTGGATTTTGGACAGATGGCTGGATATTTCGCGGACTGGCGGTTGAAAAACACCGTTCTATACAATGCTGATGTTTCATATATTATCAGTAACATATGTGTTTAAATGATTATTAGTAGTTATCTAACCCTGTTTTTAACATTTAATATTCTTTTTTAGCTATACAATGCCGATGTTTCATATATTATCAGTAACATATGTGTTTAAATGATTATTAGTAGTTATCTGACCCTGTTTTTAACATTTAATATTCTTTTTTAGCTATAAGCAGACATTTGAGTCTGTTATGAGATTTATCTCATGATGTTTGAAGGGAAACATATCCACTACTCTCCTGTGAATAAGAAACCCTTATGTTCATACAGTGCCAAGCTTTGTAAGCAGAGACGAATTAATGGCTATGCGTTTTGCATTCGTCACATACTGGAGGACAAATCAGCTCCCTTCAAACAGTGTGCTCATGTTGCACGCTATAATAAGCAGAAGTGCACCAATCCTATTCCCTCCAATGAAAATCGAGAGTAAGTTATTTTTATTAAAATAATTGAATGGGTATTTTTGTAATAGTTCTCTGATAAGTTGCAGCATTCGAATTATATAAAATGATGATTTTTTATGTTGTGATTTTGATTGTATGCATTTTACATTTCTGCAAGATTTTGAATATTATTTATGAAAATATTAGTTAAAATTGTATTTAAATTCGAGAAAAATTATTTTTTTGTAAAATTAACCCCTTAAAGCATGAGTTTTTTTAGGAAAAACTCGTAAAAAGTGATAGAGTTTTTTGGCAGAAAATGAATATATAGGTATAGTATTTGCAATTTCAGTGGTGGGAGGATGTGATTGGGAAATGAGGGTGGGTTAAAAGTTATTAATATATATATATATATTATACAAACAAAGTGTAAACAATTTGGTCATGTGTTTATTTTGAATTTCAAATTATTAAAATCGAATTATCTTACTTGCGAGCATAAGAATGACTAAAAATTCAGTTTGGTATGATATACCATAAAGCATAATACTGCACAAAGTCCAACATTACAGTTCCTACGATAGTATCTTGTTACTTTCCTTATCTTTTTACCTCTCTCATCCCTTTTACTGCTACAAACGGCGCAATTTCTACAAGGGGCTGCCTTCTTTTCTGTCGGTGGTACAAATTTGGGAATGTGCCTTTCAGTTAATCTCAGAGGCGCAGGTTGGTAACCAGACCGACCTTTCTTTTGGGTAACAGTTTTGAATGGTATTTTTCAATTAATTTTTCCACAAGCATATTGTGGAATTCCAAATAATCCTGTTTTCCTCCAATTTTTTGATATAGTACTAATGAATTCCATACAGATATATCCACAAGATTTCAAAGTATTTTCTTATAGTACCTTTTTCCTCATTTTCTTGTTGTTGGGTAATCGTGCAGATGCTGATCAAGCCGATCAATGCCTTCCATTATATTGTTGTAATCAATTACAACTTTCGGCTTCTTTATTTGAGTACCTTCATTGACTGTTTTACTTGTATTTTCCTGCTGTGCATTATGGATTGTTGAAATGGTTGGGTAATAACTCCTATCTTCTGAAGCTCGCTTCTTCACCGTTACCTTCCCTCTTTGAAATGCTATAACATTTCCCTTTTTCAATTTTTTATTTCTAATTTCAGATGGAACTTCTTTTCCAATACTTTTCAGAGTTCCGTAGGTATCTGTTTGATGTTTTACTAGGAAATCTGCTAATTGTGAAGAAGTATAAAAGTTTTCAGTCGTCAAACAGTACCCTTTATCTAATAATGGTTCTATCAGTGACAACATCACTTGAGTTGATACTAGCGTTTCTCAATATGCATCACTCATATTCATTCCTTTTCTGGTACATATGATGGATGAATGTAAGTAACTAGTTTTTGATTTTCAAAAAAGGTACATCTTTATTCCGAAACGAGCTCATTTCAGTGGTATATATTGCTTCCATTTTATTCGCCCTTTATACAGTAGTAGACTTTCGTCTATTATGATATCTTTTTCTGGTGTGTATAAAGAACACTTTTTATTTATATGGTCAAATACAGGCCGTATCTTATTGAGCTTGGGATGTTTGTGAATCTCAGCATTGTAAGTTTTGCTGTTAGAGAAAAGAAGACTTATTTTTATCTCAGAATAGTGGCGGAAGGTAAGGAGCATCGGAAAAATAGGTGATTGAAAAATTTCAAGTTTTGATCAATACATCCTTACCTCAGGCCTTCTAATTATACCTTTTTAGTATAGTTATGGCTAAAAATATATGTAATTCTTCCATGGTAATCGGTGACCATTGGTTCTGTGACGATCCTGGATGTTGAAATGCATACCTATTTGTTTCAGTTAGAATTATGTCCATAAGAGAGTTATAAAAAAATAATTCAAAGTATGACAAAATATCATAGCAATCTGTCAAAGTAAAAGAACAGCCAGGGTTTGCTTCAAATCGAAATCTCGGTGGTGCAACATTTAGTCGATTTGTACTAGTTCGATACCAGTTTCTTGCTATATCCAAAATCTCGTCAAATATTATCTTCTGATTCACTTCCATCACTCAAGAAATCATCATTTTCATTGCTGAAATTATCTGATAAATTGGCATATTCAAAATCGCCATCGTCAGAGTCGCTCATTTATCGGATAACTTTTTCTAAACAATTACAAAAACACTTAGTAAAAGTTACTTTGTGGTTAACTCTTACTTTTGTGATATTTGTGTAATAAAAATGGATATATTACATTTTCCATACCAAACAACTGCTTTATATCAAAGAATTTCTAACAAACTTATAGCTAATCATCAAAATGCACCATCTGGTTTACCCAAGGGAAATGCTGCATAGTGGTATCATCTATGTTAAGTTTAATTGTAATCTAGTGCATCTATTTTTATTGGAACGGATGTCAGATGGGCATTAGAAATAAAATAACGTGAGATTCATGTGCAAATTTGCCGGTAACTTCCGCCCATGTCAGACACAGGCAAATGCATTAAGGGGTTAAACTAGTTTAGTCCTTGGAAGAATCTTTATTACTCAAGCAATTTAAATTTTTTTTTGGTTGTGTTATTTTCCTTTGCTATAAAATATTTTGCTCAATTTAAGTACTTTTCATGCCAATCTCTCTATTATAAAATTAAACTAATTTCCATTGCTCTCTAAGTAATGTAGTCAGTTTCCCTACTTATTTTTCTTGAATAACTTTTTATAATATTCAATAAAATTTTTGCATATGATTATAGTTAACTGGAGCATTTTAACTGCATACAGTTTGGGACTGGTTGGGTGATAACTCCTATCTTTTGAAGCTCGCTTGCTTTCTTACAGTCTGACATACATAATTATGCAATAAAAATGCAGTATGTTACAATACATTTATATCAACATTATCAGCAAAAAATTTTATATCAGTATATTATACATGGAATTTTAATACTACAAAATTTCTGTGGAAATGAATTCTGTGGCTTCTGTGGCAGAGTAACATTTTCAGTAACTTCAACTTGCAGTAATTTCACCTTTACCAATTTCTTAACCCCTTAACTGCTGCAGAAAACATACAAGATTCACTCTATTAACACCATTTTTTTTATACAGGCGTGCATTTGCGATGTATTAGGGGAAAAATAAGTGCAAGTTTTGCTGTTTAAAGACTGTTTATTTTCACAAAATAAGGAAGAAAAGAAAAAATGAAAATGCAAAATTTAATGTTTAGAGTAAAAGTAATAAAAAAGATGTAAGTATGATAATAATGATGTTTGTATAATAAAAAAGATCCCCTAAAATGGAGTTTTTGATCAATTTATTTTTATACCAGTAAAGTGTAATATCAGGTTTCAGTGTTATGCCTTGTAAAATCAGTACACCTAGAAAAACATATTTCTTCTGAATTGGTTGAATCTCGCTATTTTGTTCTTGACTTTTCTTTTACAGGATGTTGGTTCATATACTGGTCTGCAAAATTGTTAGTTAGGAACAGTACGAAGGATGAGCAATTCATCAAAAAAATAATTCAAAAATGATTCATCACTATCAGACATATTTGTAAGAAAAGCACCTACTAGGAACAGTAAACGAAAACAGAAGACTCAGAAATTAAATAATAATAATGTTTTACTCAAATAGAAACAGGAGCAATAACCACGCACTGGTAGCAGTGCAAAGGAAATGATAGTATTTCGGGAGAGCATATATATAGACGATATAACAGGGCAGTTAACGCATCGGCAAAGCAAGGCATATATATACTCTCGCAGCAATTAAGGGGTTAAAAGAGGGGGAGGCAGCATAAAAAGTCTGAAAAGATTCAGTTTTTAACATTACACCAGAGGGTTTGTTGAGGTTTTTAATCTTCTTGCTGAGTTCAAAGTTTACCAATCCATTTTTGGATTCATTCCTGCTAAAATAACTTGTTTTTACTTTATTATTAAACATTTCTTTCAGCAGACTTATAAAATTCAACAGTAAAATCACAAAATTTTTAAAAGCAGCAAATTCTTAGAAATTTGTATTGCCATGCATTTATGTTTTATATATATTTAGTGCATTATTATTTTTAAAAATAGTAGATGGCAATAAGATTTGGTGGCGACATCCTGTTATTTGTTACATTGATAATGAAATTTTTTTTTAATATTCACTATATTATATCTTTAAAAATAATACATTTAGTGAGATTATCTAAATGAAAGGATAATGCCACCAAAAGTGATATTGACAAAAAAAATAAGGATCAAGACAAATAGCATATCTGGTGCTGGAAAAACAAAACAAAATTTCAAAGCATTCAGATTTTAATGTTGCACTAGAAGGTTTTTATACCTTTGCTGAGCATCGCAGGTTACCAATCTGTTCTTAAGCCGTTATCACATTAGCTGTTTGTTGCCAGGACAAAACGTTTGTAGCAACAGTTCTGAGAAATGGCCTTTGGCGAAATAGGGTTACCATCTTCACTTGGCAAACAGGCTGAAAGCCAAACAAGAATCAGTTATCGATCAGATTGGCAAAAGTGACGTTTCCTTTCAAGTGACATTCGCTTCTTCGTGTTGTTTTGAATCGGTCACACGCTTTTCGTTTTAAACTTTATTCTTAGTAATGGAAGATAATAGAAAGGTGATTGCTATCAAGTTAATCACTTTGATCTCCACTCTGGCACTTCGTGTAACAGATAAAACACAACTTCTGGTTATAGCAATCAATTACATCAGTATAGCCAAATTCTGTATACACTCTAAGAATAGTTTAAAAACATGTGCTGGATAAGTCTATTTATCACACATCGCTTATGTGTATTTTCTGTTGTCTGCATTTCAATGAAAATTTGATGGCTCACTGGAAAATTTGTGACCTGGTGAAAGCATTTTCTGACTAACTTTATGGCTCATAATTACTGTTCTGTCCATTCAAATGACAAAAATCTATATGGCTGATATTTACCTCCTCACAGCCAGCAGATACTATTCAGCAAAAATGAAGATCAAATAAAGCATTGAATACATGAGCAATCAAACATGTGCGAGTTGTTTACTGTCCCATAGAACACTCGGTAATATACCTAAAACACATTAATTATACCAACTCTAAAAATTAGGTGTTCACATCATGAGTTTGTTTTATGGTTTAATTTATTGAGATTACAGCAAAGCACACTAGGGCTATCTGCCTAAGGGAAGGGATGCCTTCGGGGAGGACTTTATAAGGGAAACTGGCTCGTCTACACGTTACACATGGGGAAAACCACGAAAGCGTCCATGCAGCCAGCCCGTTCGCGGGATTTGAACCTCGGACCGAACTACCAGTGTTCAGCGACTTTACCGCTCGGCCGCTGGTGGGCTCAGTTGGTTTTATGTGATTACCGCAAAGCCTCGAGGGATAACAACAGGAGGGATCCCTTTGTAGAAGATTTTTTAAAACTGGCTCGTATACCAGTTACAAATGGGGCAAACCAAGGAAACGTCATGTAGCCAGCCCGTTCGCGGCATTCTAACCTGAGACAGAACTATCAGTGTTAACTGAGACAGAACTACCAGTGTTCAACGACGCTTCGGCCACTAGTAGGCCCGTGCACTTAATTGGAGAGTGCAATTCATTATGTAAACAGACATGAAGGTGATAATCAGTTGAGCGCTGTTTTAAGTAATCAAATGTTATAAATGCACAGCTTTTACATTTCTTATTATTTATTAGTCATGTTTTTATTACGTAGATCATACGTATGATATAATTATGAATTAACCCAATAACAAAATGTGTACACTCTTTAGTACTCAATACTCATCAGTTATTTTTCAACTGATTATTACATGCCCATAATAATTTGCAAAGAACTGATAACTATAGTTGCTGCCAATTACATAATCGTTATCTGAATTAAAAGTAACTTCAAATAAACTTCTTGGCAATATTCATTTTTTGTATTCATACACATATATATATACACATCTAATAAGTTCATATTTACGTACAGATAGAGAGATGCGATGTTTTAGAAGTTGTTAATATAATTTTATTAGTATTAATGTAATGAATAAGATTATATTAATGAATGTATATAACATGTTTTTCATCATGCATAATAATGAATCCATAAATTTTCAATGGTTCAATATGTAGCATTTCCAATAAAAGTATAGTTTCTAATGTATTTATAATTCAAAAAGTATTTCATTAATAACATGAAAATAATAGACAAAATTTAATGAGTATTCTCATTATTACATAAGCTATGCTTTTCTTTTTTTATGCATCTTTTATGCTGTTAAAATGTGTCTGATTGCGTTAACAATTTAAAGATAAGTAATTAGGAGAAAAGCCGTGCATATACAAACGGATTTAAAAAAAATTATTCAACTAAATTTAAGAAATAAATTCTATTATATAACAGTGTTATAATACACGATCAGCACGAAATACGACAAATTTGGCGAACTTTTGGCTACGAACAATTTGTAAACAAATCCGAAATGCACGAACGTGTAAAATAATGTAAACTCTGAAATTTCCACGATTATATAGTTTAATGAATATATACACATTTAAAAATGACTCAGCAGTAGTATTACAACAAAACTGCAATAATTAAATCGGCCTCTATTTCCACCGTCCATCACTTCACAGTGAGAGCCATCGCCATATTGAAAGTTACCCGTGATCCTTCAGAAGCTGACCTTTCGTCTGATTGGTTTGAACGTTCGAGGAACACGTCTCCAGCCGAACATTTTGGGAAAAGTTTTAAAATGTTTCTCGTAGCCGGGACACGTTCCTCCTAGCTAGACGAAACATTTCTCGGAAGCCTGCCGCTTAAAGCCGTGCTACTAGAATCTCGTTTCTCGGAATTGTCCCGGGTAAGCGCGCGCGTCTATAGATGTGATAACGGCATTAGATTCACTCCTGCAAATGCAGTTTTATTATTATTAAGCATCGCTTTCTTCTCATGTATGATACTTAAAATTCAAGAGCAAAATCATAAAATATTTAAAAACAGCTTATGTTTAGTGTTCCTGATAGAATGTTGGGGGTTGCATACTTTATTTTTTAATGTTCCCTATATTTTCGTTTCTTTGAAAACTGGTCATTCAAGCAGCCAGTTATCGTAAAAAGAAAAGAAAAGTATATAATGATTTTAATGAGTCTAGGCAATGTCATTTCATAAACAATATTTAATATATCTAATTAGACATCTTATGATTTAAAGCATTTTTATTTAAATCAATGAAATTAAAAAGTAGGAAAAGTATTTTTAAGAACTGCTTTTTAATCATTTCATTTGCTACTCAGAAACATACAAGATAAAATTTGTAAGTTAAATATTTTATGTTACACTGAATGGCAACATACTGGTGCAGGGAGTTAATAAGTATTTTATTGGAGATCCAGATATGTGTATTAAAATTGATATCGTACGTTTTGCCTGATATCAAAAGTCTAGTGGGTGTCATAGTGTATAAACTTGAATATGTGAACCGAATTCTGAAGTACTTATTTACTATTTATTTATTATACTATTATTTATTTATATCTTTTTTCTTTTTCTTTTATTTTATTTACTTATTATTCTAGGTTTTGTAACAGCCACATGCAGGTGGCTGGTATATTGCCAAAGAAGGAACGTAAGCTTAAGAAAGAAAAGGAAAAAGATGTGTTATTACCAGGTGAAGGGAAGTTGAAGTTCTCAGATCGTTTAAAGGCTTTATTAACTAAAGAAAATAGTGTGTCATGTAATGAAGATACTTTTAATTCTGATGACCCTTATGCTTTTCCTGATCCTGCATCAGAAAATGAGAATGGTTGCATTGGATTTTCAGCTACACCCATTTTAAGAAATGCTTGGAATTGCTCCCAGAAAAGTTCTCCAGATGTGTCTTCTCTGGATTCTCCTTCTAGGTGTGAACAGACTCCTAAAAATTCTGCTTCCATGGACAGCAAACTTAAAAGTAATGCACCTAAACTGTCTAAAACTATGAACAGACTTCATGCAAAAATTGCACAGAATAAGCTTTTAGATAAACAAAAGAAAACTCAAGATGCTAGTCAGAGTACTATTGCATTAATCAATGCACAGTTGCATGCTATAAAAACTGATCCTCTTTCACCAATGGAAGTTACTACAATGAATTCTGAATCTAATGAAGCTAAAGTTATTCCCAATCTAATAAAAAATAATGTAATTATTAAAATGGAAAGTAGTGAAGATCAAACAAGGTCAGAAGATTCAATTGTATCAAATTGTGTATCATCTCCTAATCCACCTTCACTCTTACAGGCTGATTCCCATTTATCATCTGGAGTGAATTCATGTTCATCCTCTGAAAAGTTTTTTTGTGATCGTGAAAAGTCTCCACCACCTAATGATGTTGATTTTAAAGACAGAACTCAGTTAGATAGTATTAAGCCAAAAAAACCTAATCTAGTAGAAAATAGTAAAGTACCTCTTGTATTAAGAAAAATGCATAGGATATTGAAAAACAGGAAAAAGAAAAATAAGTACATATTTCCACCCGGTAAGTGTATACATTTAGTTTTTAATGTTTATGAATGTCTTTGTCAATTTTTTAGGCATGAGCAATTGTTTACTGGGATTTATTTAAAAATACTTATTTAGTTTCACATTTTAGGAATTAATTTCTTTCATTTTAGTAAGTAATTGTCAATCAGTATTGTATTTCTATTTTAATAAGAAAAGATAGTATAGAGTCTGTTGTGTATTCTTTTTCCCTCTGTTGAATAAATCAAAAGGGAAATTGTAAATTTTAATCTCTTTTAATTGCATAATTTTTTGTTTATAATTTGTAAAAATCTGAATGATCATATGAAAAGGAATGCTTAAACATTAATCAGAGCTCTAAGTGATATGTTAATAAATTGAAGGGGACACCTAAAATAGCATAATTAAAACTGGCAGATGTCTTTGTTCAGTTTAATCTAAGAATGACTATTGTGACTAAATTGCTGACTGATCTGACCTTGAAAAGAACTCGCATATATTAATAATCTACATCTGCGTTCTTTTTAAACTACTTATTCAAAGTTACAGCTGCCATAACATGAAAAGCCATTAAATACATTAAGTAATACATACATTATGCAAAAAAATACACGATAAAAAAACTTGAGCTTGAATAAAATAATTCACAAAGTCAACACGATAATACTAAGTAAATAAGTAGTACACAAGAAATTCATCCAAATAGTTAAGCACAATTATTTACATAAATTTACACTATTAATGCTGTAAAAACCACTATTTAATATAGTTTTCAAACATGATATTTTGGAATTAGTTACCAAAAATGATGAGTGTATGGACTCTCAAGTATACATCTCATAACATATTTATATACTCTTATAATTATGCACAAATTGTAATATATTACACAAATTTATCTATTAAACTACATTAATACATAATCCTCATTTGATAATGAGCAAATGAACATAACACTAGATCAGGGAATCCCAACCCTTTTCTTGCATTGACTCCTTTTAAAAGAATGGTTATGTTCATCCATCCCCTTTATATTTTTCTCTATAATATAGGACATACAGAATAATCATAATATAAATAATTGCACATAACTAACTTAAAGATAAAAATTAGACTAAGAATATAAACAAAAATTTTAGAAGGGAAAAATAAAACTGCACTTATTAGATTTGTTTTATTATTATTGTTGATATTTTAAATTTTTTACAAATATAAACATACTTTCAGAAACAAAATCACATATTCCAAATGCGCATAGCTCAATTTTAATGGGCCCACCAGCGGCCGAGCGGTAAAGTCGCTGAACACTGGTAGTTCGGTCAGAGGTTCGAATCCCCGCGAACGGGCTGGCTGCATGGGCGTTTTCGTGGTTTTCCCCAGTGTAACGTGTATACGAGCCAGTTTCCCTTAGAAAGTCCTCCACGAAAGGCATCCCTCCCCTTTGGCAGATAGCCCTCGTGTGCTTTGCCATAATTAAATACACCAACAATTTTAATGAATGTGATGATTGTGCTTGATGTAATGATGCATTTTTTTTTAGTGTTTGGCATAAAATTGCTTAGCTTGATTTTTTTTTAAATGCCCTATCCAAAAATACTCAACCTGTTCCTCATTTTCCGTAGTAAGTTTTTGACTTTACTAAAGCTTGCTTTCACTAGGTAAGAAAAAGGAAAAAGTCAATAAAGCTGTTTCAGTAGTAACTTTTATTATGAGATATTTCTATTCTTAAATTCCAAAACTTAGTGTACTTGTGTGTTTTTATAACTAGTGGGGTCTTGATTATGCTGATCAGTTGGCAGTGCATATTTGGCTATCACCCCCTTTCTCATCTCTGATCTCTTTTGAAATTTCATCAACTGTCTAGGGATTAGATCTGCTCTGGAAATGATTCAAAGAACCAATTCACTTTACTTAGTGAATTTATTCAGATTTCAGCAAAAGGAAGTTGCACTTCTTTTGTAGTTCTAGAAGTGCTGTTGTTAGAAGCATGCCAGGAAAGTTTGATTTCTGTTTTAGGGAAAAAAAGAATGTTTATCCTCCCATGTTAACAGTGAATTTAATATTTAATCATTTCCCAACTTTTTGAAAAAAAAATTATTTTAGAACTAGCAGCTTCGCTGCCAGCCTTTGTCTGACATTTAAATGTACTGGAAAAATGGGTGAAGGGATAACCAAACGTTAAATTTAAAAACTGCGTAGAATTTTACTCTGCAGAACAAATTCATAAAAAAAAAAAAAAAATTATTACGTATTAACAAAATTACATGAAATAAGCAGTTCCTTATACAAATATTAATTATCCTAAATAAATAAATTAACAACTTCTCTTTGCAAAATCTAAGAACTCAAATGGTAAAAGGAGGTTAAGAAAAGCACTCAAAACGATGTTTCCTAAAAAATCACTCAAAACTTTCAATATCTTAAAAAACAGTGAATGAAACGAGCAATAAAAACATAAAAGAATACAAAAAAAAAGAATTCTGAAAAGCAAGTATAATTAAGATATTTTATGTCTTCAAGAGAAAAAATTACAATGAAATAAGCTATATCCCTTAATACAAATAGTAATTATCCTAATAAAAAATTAACCAAATTTCTGTTGAAGAAAAAAAATCATGCAAAACTTTCAGTATCTACAAACAGTGAAATAAGCAAAAAATAACGTGAAAGCAACTTAAAAAACATAAAATTCCACGTAGAATTCTACTCTACATAACAACTTTATAAAAAAAAAAAAAAAAAAAAAAAAAAAAATCAAAAACAGTGACATAAGAAATATGATGAAAAATTGTTGCCAAAGCCATATTTCTAAAAGAATGAAACTATTCAAAATAATGCGATTTCATCAAAAATCTATCAACAACAATAAGACAGAAAATTGTTGCCAAAATCACATTTTTAAAGATGTGAGAAGTGTACTCGGAAGCTTCATTTAAAACCTTTTGTAAAAATACAAAATATTATAATTTTTCCAAAATTCTTTTTGTAAAAGCAGTCACAAGGATGAAAGTTTACCCGTTGAAAAGGTGTTAAGCTCCTTTTGTTAAATAAATTCGTATTTAATCGATTTATTGAAACACAAAATTTATTTTAAGTTCGTAAAATAGCTAAGTGCCTACGTTTCATGACAATGTGAAAATGGAGTGTGGTAGAGTAAAATCTCGTTTTCCTATAGCCCATTATATCTCAAAATTACGCGATTTTGTCACAAAACATAAAATTAAAAAAAATTCGAAATTTGAATTTCGAAAAAAAATCGCTTTGAGGGTGCACTGGCTCTTGTCTAAATGCACCTATGTACCAAATTTCGTAGCCGTGGGTCTATTAGTTTACGCGCAGCCTGAACGAAAGACACACACAGAGACAGACTCTTTATTTTATTATATGTAGAGATTTCATTGTTAGTTGGTTCCAGAAAAGAGGTTTTAGGGAATTTCAAAACTGCAGGTGAAAGAAATCAGTTCAGAGAGTGAGTATTTACTAAAGTCAATTCTTCCCATAACACTTTTTGTTTGATTCTTTTTGCTCATAACTCAAATTAGTTAACCGATCTTCAACCCTCTGATCATTCAACTCTTCACTTTGTTAAATCACTTTGGCTTCATCCATTGATTCTAGATATTTTTCTTCAGTGTTGTTATTATTGAGCACCAAGTCGTGAAAAGAAAAGTTATTTGAGCGAGCGAGTTATTCTGATACAATCCGATAAAAGAATGGTTTTGTCCATCTCTACTAGGAATCAATATCAACCCCTTTGGAAACCCCTCGCTAGATCCTCTATCACTTTATTGTTTCTTCATATTGCTTTGTTGCTAAGGGGCATGGGAACAAAATGTTTGTTCTTTCTTCAAGCAGAGTAACAGCTTCACGGTCTTCTCTATAACATAATAATTTTTATCCTGCTCCATCTTATCAGGATCCATGTGAATAGATTCCTTGCGATCCTCAGCCTTTATCCAGTTTATTAGCCCCCCCTTTTTTTAACTTGCTTAGTTGAATTAAAGAAGGTATTATAATTACGAAAAGTTTTGGTTATCAGATTTCAGTGGAAATATACATTTTGACTATTCTTGAGTTCAGTTTGATAAATTTTTCTTGACGTTTATATGAACATGCATATTTCATGTAACTCAAAAATTATTAGCTGTAGAACTTTGAAATTTTTTGTATGGGTCTGCTATAACATCTAGATGTGCACCTCTCTTTTTTATTGCAGTTGGCATAAGAAAAGTGTATATATGTGTGTGTGTGATTCTAATTCTATAGCCTACCATTTTTTTCTCTATCTAATTTTTAACTGTTTACTGCACAAGTAAAATTGGTGGAACTCTCGCCACTTTGTTTTTTGAAAGTGAAATAAAAGATGCTATATAGGTATTAATAGATGAAATGATGTTGTGTATGATTTAATGTTTCATTAAATTTGTTTTGTTTCAAGATGAGTTCTAACTTGCCCAAGACAAAAACCCACATATATAAAAAAACAGTGAAATATGCAATTAGGAATGAATGTGATATCATTATTGTCAAAATCCAGTTAATCTTCATTGTTTCACTTTGGAATCGTGGCATTATTTCTTGTATTTCTGCCTTTAATTATTTTCTGGGGTGTATACAAAAGGTTACAGTAATACATAACATAATTAGTATACCTAATTGGATTGTTTATCAACTGTTGAATATAGAATTTATTAATAATACAGGTAACAATAAATTTATAATTAATTATTATTAAATTTTACCAATATTTGCCAGAACATTTTTGTATAGTATTTAAACAGAATGAATGGGTAAAACATTGCAAGGAAATCTCATATAACATGATTACTAGATTCTTAAAGATGTTACATGAATTTGTAGAATATGGAGGGAAAAAAAATAGCATAAAAATCAGGACTAAATTTCAAAAGTTAATAATAACAGTAATAAAAGCTGCAGTTTCCATTACTATTTATTAAAACAAAAATTTTAAATCAGTTTAAAGTGTTGTGTATTAATATTATATAACATTTGTCA